CGAGGATTTTTGTACTCGAACTATTCAATGTACTCGAGGAATCGTTTCAGTCCTACTGTAATGTTAAACTATCAGAAAGTAATCTTTGGATGAACACCTACAACTGATTAAACATTTGGAGTAAATCAGCTAGAGCTAATTGGCCTTAGACAACCCAAACAATGTCTCTAAGGCCTGGAATATACTTGCTGTTAACCCATCAACATATATACTGGACAATTCATGTCCATAGGCTCCAATTCTAAGTTTTTGTGCCAAAATGGGAGGTGGCCACCACCGTTATTTTGACCGTGTCACAGGTTCCATCAAGCCCAGACAATTCCAAAAAAGGGAAAAGCGGTGGAGCTGAGGGTGGCGCTCTAAGGCTGGGAACAAATGACGACACCCGTCGAACTGAAGCGGTGTAGCTACAAGCTAACCCAAAGCTAAGGTGGGAGTTAAGCTAAAGGGGGTAGCTACCTAGCTACAGCCGGAGTTAACTGTGCACAACACCAGAGCTTCTGAGTCAGAGATATGCTGGGCTGACCGCTGGGTAAAACCGGGTGGAACACAGAGGTCTCCGAGACCTTCACAAGCCGGCAGCCCTCGCAGCAGACAGGCGTTGCTGCGATCTGAGATGTGCAGAGCTGCCGCAGGGGAGAACCGGGTGGAAAACATTGGTTTCCATCCGAGAGCTCCACAAGCCAGCAGCCGCGTGGCAGACAGGTGCCGCTGTGATCACAGATGCGCTGAGCTGCGGCTGAAGGGAGGGAGTCCATACCGATAGTTGGAACCCAGCTCCACCAACATGTTATATTTCAGCCCATTTTCAAAAATGCAGCATTATCTTAAATGCACTGGGCTTTACCCTATTACATTTAAATTTAACGGTTAAACAGCACACGCTAAAATCTAAGTTCAGTGCAAGAGCGGCAGTGACCTAAAATACATAAATATAATTTTACTTACCGAAAAAAATGAAGTGGAGACTCCTTGGATGCTTTATTAGTGCAATTAATGTCACAGCAAGTCATTTTGTCCAACAATTGCACAAATAATATCCAAAAAAGAATACACAAACGCTACAACTAATGGTTTAAGATGAGAGACTGAAAATGGCATAACAGTTTTCAGGCGAGGCCGAGGCTCTACTGAGGCCTTTCACGGAGCTAGCTCTGTGGTCACGTGGGTCTGATGCTCATTAATTATACAGAATTTTAGGCTTTTAATACACTTAAACAGAAGAGTGAAAAAAAAATTCACCCCCTCAGTGTTGTCATAAGTGTAAACTAGATCATTTAAACCAAAAACATGTTTTGGTACCAGGCTGTAAACATGTTTATTTCTGCTGTGAAATTGGTATTTTTAACATGGGAGTCAATGAGGATTTGCTCGCTTCTGACACTAGCCCCCAGCGGATGAGGGTGGAACTGCAATTTTTGGTACTTCCTGTTTTGCTTCATTTCCAGACCCGAATTATGGGGGCTTGTGTTAACCTCGCAGACTTGCTGCTACACGGCACTGCACTGCATGTAGTACTGGAGTGTTCCAATAGAGGGCACACTAGATAACTCAGACCTGACAGAGAGCCGGGTTTATGGGTACAACCAAAATAAACATCAATAAAAGAGCTCACTACTGGTTAATGCTGAGATCACTACAGAAAAAAAGACAGCAGCGGTATCTTAGATGGTGTGACAGACCTCAAACCAGAGACGGAGTTACTATTGTGAGTGTTGTCTCGCTCGTTTTGTCAACTCCACCTACTGGTTACTCGTACGCTGCAGTTTTCAGATGCATCGTGTTGTTGCTGCATTGCATTAATTTCGGGGGTCACGCAAAAACAACGCTTCAAATTAACGCAAGTAAACACATATTTGCGTTGTTAAAAAGCAAGAACATCACGGCCCTAAGCCAGTTTTACTGATATTAAACTAAAATCCATTGTTAGCAGCTGAGTAATCCCAAATGTATGTGAGTGGTAAAGAATGGCATGAGATCTTCTAATATTGTGCGTAATAGTAATATTGCCACAACTCCATAATTTCTTAAAGAGGTCCTTCACTGAGAAACCAATTTAAACTATTATATTTGAAAACGATCAATCACTCTGAGTTTTTCATGCAGGCTGAACATGAAAATAGTCTCCTACACCGATCTCCTGCCTTAGCTTCTGATGGAAATTAGACAGTGAAACTCTAGGATTAGAAAAGCCTGAATTATCTACATCACACTGTCACTTAACACTCATGGACTCATGGTGTTTGCACTCGGATTGTTACGTTACCGTTCCTCATCCATAACAGCGGGGGGAGGGGCTTGGCCTGGCAGATCGCTAGGCGTGTAACACACTGGGAGAAACCCTGCATTAGCATTAGTAACTCCACCACAGCAGAACTCTTTCAGGCCTGTGTTATTTCTGGAGATAAATCATCACAGTGAAGGACATCTTGAACACCTTTTAAAGAAAGTGACAGGAGATATGCATTCCCTTATAGAACGTAAGACCTTAATATTGTATAGGAGTATTTCTTTATTGAGTCAGTTGGGTTTGTTGCACACCTTTAAACCTTTTATGCCATTTCACATTCTATATCCATCAATCTCTTCCAAATGAACATGGGAAACTTGTCTTGGTTCCTTCAATAACAGGGATTCAGTTAATGCTAATGTATTTTTCTAGACCAACAGCGATAGCACAGCCGTGTTAAACCGTCTTCCTGCTGAGTTTCATCTATGATGCACATTATTCATCCCACAGGAAGAGGCCTGAAGACAATCGCACTCTTTATCGTCTTAATAGTAGAAAGAGTTGAACATTTGAAGCTAAAACAGAATGAGCTAGTGAGAGTTGGAGATTATTTAAATGTGCAGAAAGGTATAAAAGGAGTGTCAGCGTGCTGGTGTATGGGACCGAGGTGAAAGCTTTCAATCTGTTCCGTTCACCTCCCGCTGGGCCGCCAGCCCAAATCCATTTACATCTCTGAGTCGCTGTGAAGCTGCTAACACACACACACACACACACACACACACACACACACACACACACACACACACACACACACACACACACACATAAACGTTAAAGTCCTTATAAGCAGACGAGTGTGAAGCTGTTGCTTCTTGGTATGCCGACACACACGGAGCTGTAATTGAGAATCTGTGTCATGACCTTTGTCCGTGTCACACCCTGTCTAATATATCTTCTAAGTCATTTCCAATAAATATCTTCTGTGAGCTCAGCAGAACACGTTCTCCTGACAAATACCATCAAACTCACTTAGCTCTAATGCAACATCCCTCTGTTAAATTCCTGATCTTTCCTAAATGACTCCTTCCATCAAAGACGAGCACACGTCAGCTCCGAGAACACATAAAGCTCCAACACCATCATCACTCTGAGACAAACACACACAGGTCCTCATTAACCTCTCAAGCTCACCTCAGGCCTCCAGGGTTGACTGACTCATGATGGATTAGTTGACCAAACAACACAAAGTCTGGCTAGAGACTTTCAGAGACTGAACACCTTATTATTTGAACGTAAACACATTAGATTAGACAAGGGAATGAGGGAGGAGCTTGTTAACAGGTGGGGAAATCATTAACTAGAGCAGTCTAGCAAGGGATCAGAGAACATTTCCTCAGTTTTATTTAAGCTTCTGTTCTACAATAGTCTTGAGTTAAGTGGGAATTATTAAATCAGAGGAGTGAAAAGCAGGAAAGGTTTAGAGGCTTGAAGTGGGGATCCTTTTAAAAAAGAGATGCTGGAGCTCAATAATTTGACTGGTATGACAAAAGGACAATATTGACTAACTTTAGTTCATGTGGCCCAAACAATGATCCCTTACAGAGTGCCAGAGGAAAAGTAAATGTCTGTCATTCATCATGTTAATAAGTTAAGAGTCCCACATGTTCCTGTAAAAGGCTGCTTAAATGTTGAATCCAGTGGAGAATCAAAAATGCACGAAGATCATTAAAATTCAAAACTAGGAGTTGGAAAAGATCTAAATTACTGAAAATAACCAGTAAACAATTATACATCAAAGTCAGTGTGTCCCCTCCAGGGTGTTTGGTTTGTTTATCCTTTATCTAGCGCAGAATGCTTTTATCCAGCAAAATGTCAAAACCCCGGTGGCGTCCGCGAGGTGATTAGTCTACAGGTGAAACGTTCAGAGTGAGTCAGAGCAAACAGCAACGGTTAGTATGATCAAGGGCTGGGGGGCCATTTCCTGGATTCCTGTCATTCATCTCTAAAAGAACCCACAGGTCACTGACCTGCCTGGTGGTCTAAAGTATGACTCACTCGTCAGTTACATCCCTCTGGCCCCTGGTCATGATGCTCAGGCACACCAGCTTTTATAAATAACTAGTAATGGTGGATCAGTATTCTGGGTGCTGAGCTGCAGCCTTTAGAGGCTGGAGGCTGTCACCGAACCCGACAGAAACAAAGGTGTGGGACGAGGTCTGCTCTCCCCTCGGGGAATCAGGATGGATGGTGCTCATTTTGAGAGTGGGTCACGTCTGAATCCACGTGATATTTGTAATGATGTAATTCCGGTTGCGTGGGGGGGGGGGGGGGGGGGGGGTCATGTAATCATTACTTTGTTGTTTGATAAAAATTAGCTAGTTATAAAAATGTGTTGCCTTAGAGGTGATCTATGGCGAGAGAGTAAGCTCTGTTCATGAAACTACGCCTCCTACTTCCTCTATTGACCAACGAACCCACATTAGCTGCTATTATTCTACTCAGGTCAAACCAGTTTCTGGTCTTCTTAAAACACTCCAGACTAACCAGTTTGATAGCAAGCCTCTTATAGAAATATCTACCTCTGCTTCATCATAAAACACAAGTCTATTCAGCTAATAGACTACTTTTAAATTCCTGAAAAAACAAACAAAATAAAAACACACGCAATGATTTTCTCAGGAATATCAGTGGCACCTAAATGAGACTCAAGAACACTTAGAAAGTTAAAGTGTTCCAGGTGAAGACACATCCTGGAGTTGTGCTAGCATACCTGCAGGGAGCGTGGTAGAAGGGATATCCAGGGTGAGGGACGTGGTTGCAGTACCCAGACTGATTCCACATGGTGCTTTTCTTGTTCCACATAAAAGACAGCTCACCAGGATGGAGGATGTTTCTATTTCTAGTTCTGTGGAATCCAACTCAGGCAGCTTGGAGCCGCCCAACTCAGCCTCGCTTCTCTCGCATTTACAGTGGCTCCATGGGGAGAGAACAAGAGGTTGCTGGGTTCAAAGCCTGATATTACGAAGGAAGATGAGGTGGGGAAATAGTCTGAGGACTCCAAAAAAGCAGGTTGAGATTTTGTCAGGTAAGTCGTGACGAAGACACCTGGAAATGCCGCCTGCCTCTGCTCAACAGCTGTGACTGTTCAGCACAGTCCGAGACGAGTGCCCCAGGTGAAGTCTGACATGTCTGGTTACTCCTCTTTGTCCTGCCTCCAGCTACTCATCCTCCCTTGTGTCTCAGATGCAATCAGGACAGCAGATGTCAAATTTGCAGAGATTTTCTTCTGCATCCTAAACCATCAGAGAGCACAGCGCATATTCAGACTGCACAGACGGAGATCTACATCTGACAGTTTTCAAGATTAGCAGAGGATTTCATGAACATCAGTTTATCTCAGAGTCTCTGAAGGTGACCAGGGGCAGTTTTAGCCACCCACACACACGTATCTCCTCACTTCACAGGTGCCAAAAATCCATCTCGTGACACTCGCAGGCTAAACCTCACAGTCGGAGTCCCTCCACTGGCTCTACATTTCCTCTGAGGCAGCCGGTGCTGTCACAAGTGCTAATTCCCCGAATCGCAGGATTCTCACTGGCTCTCCAGCCTCTTCCATCCGCCACGGCGCACAGAGCTGAATGACCGAGCGGGTAAAATCACAGGGAGGAAAGGAGAAAGAGAGACGGGCAGGATGTGGCAGAGAGAGGCTGCATCTATCAGGAGTGAAAGACAGAAAATGAGGAAGAGCTGCATTCCTTTCCCGCCTCACGCTCATCTGGCAGGATACACACCGGTGGGAGGAGGAGTGTTTGGGGGGGGGATGGACTGACTCTAACTCTATTTAAATGCCCTTTGAGACTGAATTCAGTGTTATTTGAGAACTGAGCGTGCACCCTTTTGTTCTGTTTTACCTTGAGGGGAAGAATGTATTTAGTATTTGGGTGACGAAAATCCAGTCCTGTTCCTAGAATAAAATATTCCCATTTGGTGGTTCATGAAATGAGGGGGATACACAGAGTTTCAGTGACTGTCAATTCAATTATAGCTAAAAAAAAAACTTTTAATGGTTTGAACAAAGTGGAAAATAAAAGATCCAGTTGGTGTAACCCATGTTTACTGGATGATTACATGTCATCTCATGCTTGATGAGGCACACACTTAGCAGGAATTATCCGCTTCTGTGGTTGTCATAAAAGTAAAATGTCATCACTTTATGTTTACTGCTGGGAAACACAATCTCAGTAGAACTGCTGAGTAACAGCAGCGTGAAAGTTTGAGTCAGAGCAATCAAACCAAACTAAGTTATACTGAAAACTACAGGTGGGGTTAAGATTCAGTCACAATCACTGCAGACCTCAGTAGAGACACCTGTAGCAAACGTGAACCTTTCTTGATTGTTTCTTTTAGGGCTGGGCGATATGGCCTCAAATTAGGGCTGCACGATATTAGGAAAACCTGCGATATTCAATAACAGTGCTTAGTATTGCGATATCGATATTACTTGCGATAAATGAACAAATACTAAAGTATGCAGTGTTGATGTCGTCTGGCGTGTGAAGTCTGCTCTGGGTTCAAAGCAAACAAAAGCTAATGCAAGAATTCCATTACAACATAACATTTTTATTGCAAACATATGCAGCTGCACCTGCTACTGAATTAGCAGCAAAACAACAAACTGCATGCATGCAGTTTCTCAGTGACTTTAAAACATCACCTCCACCAGAAAACTTTTTCTGATGCTCCAAATACAGAAAAACATCCCTTACCAGGGTTTTTGAATAAATAAAAAAAATCAGAAAATAAGTTTAAATGTTAAATAATAGTTAACATCACTTAAATGCAACAGCAAATTCTCTCATTGCTACCGAGCATTTTCTCCACTTATGTGGTTATGATAGAAGGCTGTTGCTGTAATTGGGAAGTGAACTGTGCTGGGCCAAACTAGGAGAATAATAAGATTTTCTGAGGGAAAGAGAAAAACAATTGTCTACCTTTCAGAAGAGGAACTGGCAAAAAAACTACATGGAAAATATGTGAAAACATTTGTTTTTAACCCCAAATTGAACAAGTTTACCTAGATCTTAAAAAGTAGCTCAGATGATGAAACTGCAACTATGATTCTGATAACAAGCTAACAAATTGAACTAGCTCCTCGTAGAAAACCAGCTAGCAGAGCTTACTGACAGTTTATGTGCAGCAGCAAATCAACTATCCTGATTAACAAGGTCATAAAAGCTCATAAATGAAAAATCACTTTGATGTGTGGAGGAACTTTTCCAGGCTCTCTTTAGCAGCTCAGGGTGGGACTGGGAGGAGAGTGCTGTAGCTTTTTAGCTGGAAGCTAACCGGAGCCTGGGGCTAACACTAGCGACATGAAGGTGGGTTGGTTCACCGGCACGTGTCGGAGTCAGCCCGGTAAAAATGATTAACGACACCGAGCGGAGTCATGTTCATGTTTGAAAGCAGCGCTGATTCCAGAAACCTCAGCACAAAGTGCGTTTGTTGCTCTGAGCCAGCATGACGAACAAGGGAACGGCGCCGCTAACTCTGTTCGGGTGTTGCTTTCCAAAAGGGTCTATGTAGGGGGCGGGCGTATTACGTGAACGGACCCATCTGATTGGCCGCATATCATAAGGGCTTCATTTGATTGGTCAAATAATACTTCCGTGTAAAAAACAGAGATGGTTTACAAAAAGTTGATGTATGACACGGATGGAAATGTTTGAACCAAACATTTATCGCTGTTTTTGCCGTGTTTTGCGATGGGCCTCTCGCATGTCCTGTTATCGCGATGACGATAATTTTTCGATATATTGTGCAGCCCTACCTCAAATGTATATTGCGATATAATCTGAAGCATGTGCGGTAACGATATATATTGTGATATATTTTTTCCTCTGTTTATATATGTCAAAATGACATGCTTTTAAATATCCTCATGTGGCAAATATATGCCACTTGAGGCATATAGGCCTCCTCCTCCGCCCACTCCATTGTCATGGTCTGCGTCTGCCCCTTCCTTCATGTGCCTCCTGGTGTTTCTCCATCCTCTCTAGATTCCCTTCTGTGTCCCTCATGTGTCATGTCTGCGTCTTCCTCATGTGTCTTCTGGTTTTCCCCATTTCCCCCTAGATCTCCAGCCCTCTAGGTTTCTCAAGTCATTTCCTTTAGTTACAGCCTTTCATGATTTAGTATGTTTTTTCCCATCAGTGTTTATTATTTTTCTCCCCCCTCCCTTTGAATTGTAGTTATGTTTTATTCTTAGGTCAAGTTAGTTTCTCCCCTGATTAGTCATTGCCTTCACCTGGTCCTCCTCCCACACCCCACACACCTGCTGCTCATCTCCCTCTCATCATCCCTGTGTGTTTAAGCCCTGTCTTGTCTCAGTGTCTTGTCGGTCCATTGTTTGTACTCTGTCAGTCTCGTCTCTCATCGTGGATTATTAGGGTTTTTGGTCTTCTCGTGTTCTTCAGAGTTTTGGTTTTCCAGATCGTTATCTGGATTTTGGCTCCCAGCCTTTGGACTTATTTTTGTTCTCCTTAAAAATAAAGGATTTTTTCTTATTCATTATCTCTGACGCGTGTCATCCTGGGTGCTGCATTTGGGTCCTACCATCCCGTATCGCGACACCATGCTTGCAGTCAATGCCATTCTGTTGTCTCAATGTCAGCAGGGTGCACATCTTAGTGACGTCATGTGTTATCGCGATATCGCGGTATTGCGATATAGCCCAAAACTCTATCATTACCCAATTTTATATCGTTTCTACCTTATATCGTTTATATTGCCCACCCTTAGGTTGTTTCTCACATTGCATCACAGGATTGTGCGGCCAGAAACGTGCAGGTTTGGAGGATTCAGCCTAACAGATGGTTCACTCTTGCTGTGTGGTCAATACGGCCCACTGGGGCCCTGAAAAAAAAAGCTTTCTTCTAATTCATAAAGGACCGCAAAATACGAAAGAGATGGTTGCAGGTGATCAGCAGATTAAACCTGGAAGAAAGCCTGGATTTCAGCACCAACTGAGATTTTGTGAGGCTCAGCTTGTTCATGCTGAGTCTGTATGACGTTGTTTAGAGAAGATGTTGTTAAAAATATTCAGGTTTGCATTTCATAAATTCAGTTAAAAAATAAATATATGTCTCCCCAGCAGATGTGTGTGAATTGGACCAAAGTTTTTGTCATCCCAGAACTCCTACAGGCTTTAAATAACTTCAATGTTGTTATCAATACCTGTCTTTAGACATTAAAGTGCCTTTGTATTGGGGATTGTGCCTGCTAATTCTCTAGAAAGTGTTCATTGTGTCTTGGCAGCAGAATATAAAGTTTGTTTTTGCACAAAGATGTGAACAAAGATTCACCTATCAGGTTTATCAGAACAAGAACACCTGTGCAAGGTTTGTGCCTTCTCGGGTCGATTTACTTCTAATGATTTACAACAAATAATTGAGTTGAAAAGAACATTTAGATCTTGATTTTAACAGCTAGTAAGCCGTATACGGCAACCACTGGATTCCCTGCCCACCACTGTATGACGTTACTGTGTTGTTATCGTCCATGCAACAACAAATATTGATGTGGAGGAACTTGTTGTAATTAAAACTAAGCCCTCGTCATTGAACTTGAAAATCTCTATCTCAGGATGAATTTAAAATGTCAGTTGTTTTTTAGGGGTGGGACTTTAACATGTTAATTATGATTAATTAATTAGAAAAAAAATGACGTCTTTAAAAAAATTCACGCAATTAATCACAGCTTGCATTTCAAGCAAGACGGAACCTTTGTCATCGCATATCATCGATAGCATCGAATATCACAGTTTATGCACAGTGCTAATGGCTACTAAAACGGAATAAAAACGGAAAGAAATTGCCTTGCTTGGACTGATGCAGGATTTAGGAAACATGTGAGCCTCTTTTATTAACTTGTAAAGAAAAAAATTTTTTTAATTAAAAAACCTTCCTGAAAACTACAGAGTCCGTCTCACGGATATTTTTCTGAGATCGTCTTTGCTGCTGCCCGATGGCACCGGAAACTTTACAAAAGTCGAAGTGAGCTTTATTTTTAACATTTATGTAACATTTGTGCAGCGCTGAAAGCACCAGACAGAATAATTTTTGCCCTGAACAGTAGTTTATGAAAGTAGCGGCACTTCCTTAAATAGGTTTGGCGGGTGACGTGAACCGGAAGACTGGCGCTGGGGATGTTGGGTAATGGTGTTCGGATGGTCTGAGCGGCTCTGCGGTGCCTCCCTAGAGGAGGTTGACGGATGAGAGGGAGGTTGCGTGACAGTGCGTTGCTATCACTAAGCAGCGAGGTGTGAAGCGGTCATCAGCTGATTGGGAGCTAAATGGGCGGATGTTGAAGAGCATCAGGGGCAGCGAGGAACAAGAAAGTTGTGTTCATGCTGGAGATCACACCAGATTCGCTGCTGCAGGAGTGAATCTGCGGGTCTGCAGCTATCCCCTTCTTGAAGCAACAGTGGGACTTCCCATGTAAGGAAGGTCTGCTCACCTGTTCGTCAGATCATTAATTCCTCATCGTGGTCTTTTTTCTTCCCATTAGGGCTGAACGATTAATTGCATATGCAATAAATTGCGATACGAAAAAATGAGATTTTCAAACCGCAAAGGCTGCAATTTTAACTTCTTACCAGCAGGTGGCAGTAATGCACCCAAGGCTTGATTGTCAACCGCCATTAAACACCAACAAAGGAAGAGGAAACTAAGTCACATGACTTGTGAGCGTCTCAAACCAGGCAGAAAAAGTAGAACTTCAATAACGGCGTCAGGATCGA